CGAGCAGCCGCCCAGCCCGCAGGAGAGGCTGCCCCGGCCTTGCTGAGCCTTTCCTGCGGGAAAGGGGCGCAGAGGCTGGGGCCCAGCGCGTTTCCACCCGTGGCGTGCCTTCCAGTTACCGTGGGCATTTGTAACGCTGCTGCTGCTAGTTTGCTCTGCGAGTTCAGGAGCGATCGGTTTGGAAAGTAAATGGCTGCTTTGCGTCGGAAAAACGGATGTTTCAGTGAGCTGCAGTGAACCAAAACTGGGGGGGATTGCAGGAGGCACGGGGGGCTGAACTGTAATAAGTGCTTACTTGTGAACAGTCTTGGAACACTAGCTTATCTTTCTCTTTTTTTCTCCTTCACCCAATTATTTTGTACTACGTGGTTTTTTTAGCCTTTTTTAAACAACATGCCAGCACAGTAGTACTCATCTCGCTTTTGCAAGTAAATACTTTGTAGAGGTGAGATGCCTATTGCCAGTGTGCTTGTGTTTAGTTTCCCAGTGTGTACACATTATAACTGTGTGTTTACTGCATGTCAAAAGCAGGAAATGGGAGAACCCAAGAAGCCTAGAAGTGCAGATGTTTCAAAAAATCTAGTGTGGTTTACACTGACGATAATGAATTGCATAAGAAAAAAATGTTTGGTGGGAATAAGAAAGCTAGAAATAATTCTTGATTGTTTGGGGTGCCAGGGGTTGTGGCCATGTGTGTTTGTTGTGCTGAATCCGCCTGCAGCCCCAGCTGCTGGAGGTTCATCCTCTGCTGTGCTTGTCCCGTGACAAGCTCTTTCTTTGCAGACTGACCCGATACCATAATATCTTTCGGTAATACCAAGGAATTCTTTCCATTCGTTAGATGTCTAAAACTTGATGGCAGATTGTGGACCATCTCTTGCATCTGTGTAAGAAGCAGGAAGAACTGATAAAAAGCTCACACAAGGGAAGTTGTAACTGGATATCGTAACGCCACATGACAGGCTGTTGGTCCCCAAAACACGGTACTCGTTTCTCAAGCCTCAGCTGTGACTGTAGGAAGGAATACCGAGGGCTGTGCTTCATTTTCTCCTCTTGATTGCTGTCCCCCAGCCAGGCCTGCAGTCCCTGGGCCGGTGTTTCAGGTGATGCTGTCGGTGCTGGGCGCTGCTCCTTCCTGTGGTGTCCTTCCCGGTGCAGTTCTTCGTGACTCTTTTTCCTGGGTTGGCTGTCTGGAACTTTAATGTTTTATTTTGATGCTGGGGCCAGTGTTACTGTTCATTCAAACAGGGTCTGCCCCCGTAACACTAACAGACTCAGAAAAGTAGCACCGTTAGTGAACTAGCAATACAAACAAAAGTGAATAAATAGGTTTTAAATGCTGCAAGTGTGCTGTAAACGAAGAACATACAATTGGGATCTAAACGGCAACAGGGGAGGGCAAACTTTTTCTCTGTTAAGCCTTTACACTTTGGGGTGTTTATATAGACAGCTCGAGTGTTGCGTGAGGTGCCTCCTCAGTTCTGTGTTGTGCTGAGTGGATAATGTCTTTGCAAGCTTGGTTGTAAAGGAGTTTGCTGCTACACAGTGAAAGTCTAGAAGAGCTGGGGATGATGATTTTTTCCTTTGATAGCTGTCATGTTTTCTGAGGGCTCTGAATTAGAAATGAGAGTTGAGACTGAATTGCTAACAACTCTTAATTGCTGTCATTAGTTCCTTCTACAAGTCTTCTAGGGCAACTAGGAGTTCAAGCTATTATTAAAATGTGGATATGTAACAGCAAGATGATATAAAGCCTGAAATTTGCAGCCACTTTAGAAAGTCCAGTGTTGGAAAAACATTGCTTATAGCAATGTAGATTGCAGAGCAACAAGAGAGTGAGGAACTAGTAGTAGTGAATGGCACTAAGACTGAGCAAAATAGCTGTTCTGTCCCTTGTTTGAAGATGTATTGAGGATTTCAATGGGTTATTCTGCATTGTGATGGAAGCTTTATGGAAACATGCATGTCCTTTTGAAACAGATATTTCAACAGCTGGTTCATAGGTAGGTCTTTGAGACCTGTTTTCACTATTAATTTTCTAAAATACTGGAGTGACAGAAAATAATTTATTCTTCGGTCTGTTGGAATCCTGTGGGATTCAGAGACATAATTTGAGATAAAGTTAGTAGCTTTGCTTACATTACAGTGATACAAGTGCAGAGCTGTACCAGTGTTCTGCTCGTGTAATGTGGAACACCCAGCTCTGTTTGTTAGCTGGTTGAGCTATTTTTGAGGGGGAATAAAAAAACTATTTATGGGTTTTATGAATTTAGATTTGTTCTCTGGTGTGTGTTATTTGGAAATCTTCATTTTAAGGGTTGTGACAATTGTTAATAAAATTAACTGGATGGACAGAAGTCAGGTTTGTGTTTTGTCCTGGAAACCTGCATTCTTACACTTCCTTTTTGGGAGAGTAGCCGAAAGTCAGGTTTGCTTTGCTCTGTACCTGCAAAGCCAGGGCTGGGTGGTTCTGCCTGTGCTAGCCCTGGAGCTGCAGCACACACCAAGTTGAGATGGCTGCCTGTGGTCTGCGCTGGGCCCGGAACCGTTTCACTGGGGTAATTAAGTAGTTCACGTGGCTCCATACTTGAGCTGACAGGTTCTCCTGGGAGGCTCTGAGGAGCCCAGGAGAGGTCTCCTGGCCTGGGCTGCCCTGGCGTGGAGGTGGCTGTTCGCAGACTGAGAGGACAGGATCTTTGCACCATGCTTTGTGTGGCAACTGTCACTTGCTCTTCCTCCTGCTGAGGAAGCTCTGAGCATGCATTTGTGCACTTCACTGTGCTGCAGCCTGTGGGGTTACATCCCTCCTGTGGTGGTCATTTCAGGGGAGTAGTTAAAGGTAACCAAAATGAGAGCTATGTGAAGGAGCAGCTGGATTTAGGCAGCTCCTTTAAAGGTGAAAGAATCCAAAGAAATGTACCTTCTGCCTTCCTGGTTCCCCTTTTGCAGTCCCAGGCAACACGGGGTTGTTTGTATTGTAGAGTTTTGCCGATGGACTGATAAAGCCAGTTGTGTTCTGGCAGCTAAGCTGATAAAAAGTTTGAAGATAACTGGATTTGGGGTAGAAGTGCATGTTTCTGATACTGCTTTCTAAAGAGATTTTAATGGGATTGAAATAATTTAAATACTTAAATGCTTTTGCAAGGTAAGGGGGAAGAGTCTTCAGCGTAATTAAAAAAAAAAGGCATCAGGCTTGAAGTTCCATCTTGTCAGTGTGAGGCCTGAGGCGCAGAACCAGCACGCGGGGTTGGCAGCCCAGAGCCTGGCTGCAGAGCTGAGCTCGGGGGTGATGGCAGCCGGCAGCCAAGCCGCCAAGGGGCTGGGCGAGAGCTCCGAAAGGCTTGCACTGCTGGGGTGCCTGTGCCCCTGCCCACTGCACACACCTGTGCTTTACAGGAGCCTGCCTGCACGCTGGGCGCTTCCCAGCTATGCACGGAGAACAGTTTGCTTTGTAGGGACCTTCTAGATAAAGGGCAGATGAGTCAAGCGAAAGAGGGAGGGGGGGTTGTGTTTTTTTTTTCCCCTAGCCCCTTTTTGATTCCCATCCTGTGTAAGTTGTAAGTGGAGAGCGTGAGAAGAGCTGGAGGTGAGAAGGGTGGTGGAAGGGTAGAGCTGGGGAGGAGATGGCCCCATGTGCAGGCACCTGCCTGAGCACACCTGCACAGGAGCACAGGCTTCCCAGAAGAGCTGCTTGTGACAGGGCTGGCGCGCGCTGGGGCCTTTTGGTTGCTGTTTAGTGCCTTGATGTGAGAGTCTAGGCAACTTCCTGTAACACGCTTGTACAACTATATTTCCAAGCATAAAACTCTTGCCATGGGGGAAATAGTTTTTAATAATACATTTAAGAATTCATTATGTTAATACAGGTACAGTGAAAGAGTCTGGTGAGAAACATAAGGGATCTGTTGAAATTCCTAACCTGTCAGAAGAAAATGAGGTAGATGATACAGAGGTAGGTGTGAAATACTGATATGGCTATATAGGTTCAGATTCTTAAATAAGCATTAATGGACCTATAGGCATCATGTTTTGATTTATCCTGTGATTAAGTGGGATAATTACACTTAGATAATTTAATTCTTTTAAACTTGGAATGATGACTTGTCTTTGTTGTCAAATTTGCCTACTAGGAATGTGCACTGTTTTCTTTACTAATTAAATCGTTTGTGACTGTATCTGAACTACAAATTTGAGAAAAACTTTGCTTGTTGTAGTCTTGTAAAACCCCACCAAGCCACTCCCCAAAACTTCGAGGAATCTCCTTGTTAGTTTTATCATCACAGTCAAAACTGTGGCTTCCACAGATTCCTCACCCTCTGCTGTGTCACAGGGGACTGTTCATACTTGATGAACTTGGCTAAGCTACTGTGGAGATGAGATACTACATTTAAGTCAAAGTTTTTAACAAAGGTAGGCTAGCCTGAGAAGATAGTGCACTGGAAATTGCAGCTGTCCTCTGAGCACAGCAAACAAAGCCAAAGTACTGTCCTTCGTTGCCAGAACCCCAAAGGCACATGTTTAGATGCCTCCTACATCTTGTAACTTTTCTGTTTCTAGATAAATGTTAGCAAAAAGAAAGGGGAAGGTGATGTTCTGAAGGACCTTATGCGAACTGAAGGAACCACGAAAGTCAGAGAGGCCCTGAGAGATTATCTGAGAGCACTTAAAACAGGTAAAGTGAGCCACTGGGCTAGGTGTGTTTTTCTGCAGTTTGGCAAGATACTGACAAGTCTTTGGGTTTGTGTGGTTTTTAATTGTCACCATCTGAGCTGAAATAACTGAGTCCTACCAGGCAAAATCCTTGTTGCTGCCAAACACATCAGTGTCCAGAGGGTTTTGTCGTGACCCAGAATTGTTTCGTTGGCACACGGTGACCGCAGAGATCGGGGGAGGCCTGCAGGCTGGCAGAGCAACACCAGCCCCTCAGCTGGCTGCTTCTCTGCTCTTTTGTTCAGCAAACTTGGAGAGAGTGCACCCTTAACGGGCAGATGTTACTAATTTTGGGCCAGGTAACTTGGAAAGCATGTGCTTTTAAGGGAAGCTGCTGTTTGTTAGGCTCTGTTGTCAGTAAAAACGTACGGTTAGGGTGGGGACACTGCATTGGAGTCCCATCTCCTGGTCTGTGCTCCCATTCTCCACAGCTTTTGCCAGCAATTTTCATTATGTGGCTCAGTAGCAGGGTGGTTGTGAAGCTCAATTCCACACTGAAAGTGCCTGTGTCTATTGCAGAGTTTACCCTGGGGATGATTCTGCCAACAAAAGCTACCGCTGGTCAGGAGCTGGGCACCGAGCAGAGTCTAGGGGGGAACACTGTGCAGGTAGGTTGGCTTTAATGTTGCATGAGTTTGATTTTACCACAGAGAGAGGGCCTAAAGGTTTTGTTGTGACAGCAATTGTACGTGCATGCACCTGCCACAGTGAAAGCCTCTGGGGGGGAACTGCCACCTCATTGCTGTGATCAGGGCCTGAGATACAGAAGTGCCCCAGCACAGGTCCTGCAATCCTTACTAACAATACTGTTAAATAAATAAGGAAATGTTGTATAATTAACATGTATTCATGACACAGTATGGCTCAGAATGTGCAGGTAACAACAATCCTGCCATCCAGAACTTCTCAGTGTTGGATCTGGCATTCACTCACATGGGTTGTGGGGTTTGGTGGTTAGTTTGTTTTCTTTTTGTTGCTTTTTGGTTTTTGCTTTGCAGGATTCTGTTTCACCAGAGTCCCTGGGTCTAGTTGGTGTAAAAATTCCAACAGTGAGGATACTGATGAGAGAAATGTTCAGCTCCCCAGCAGATGACCTTTATCATTTCTTCACAACTAAGGAAGTAAGTGATGGTCATAATAGGTGGTCTGGCTCAATGCAAGTTGTGTTACAGCTGTCTGGACAGCTGTGTGAGCAGCAAACATGGCAACTTCCCCACGTCAAGTACAGGTGATGCTCCTCAGGTACATTCACAGGAGAGATGTGACCATCCAGAAATTGAAGGCTTCAGGAGCTGCCTTTCCCTTGGAACTGCCAAGTATTTGTAATTCAGTTTGTCATCATTGGCCTGGCAAGTTCTGCTGAAGTGTCGCATTTAAGGCCTCCCAGGAGATGCAGGAAACATGCAAAAGGAGCTGACAGTTGGTGAAGCCATGTGTCAATTAGGGTGGCTTAGACCCAAATTAAGTTTGTTTTTGACAGCTGTTACCTTACTAGGAAGAAAAGGCAGCTAAAGGTGCATCTCTGTGCAGGCTGTGTGCAGCTCTGTCCCACTCTGCTTTGCTCGTCAGACGCGGGGTTTCTGTACAGCCACTTGCCAGTCAGGAGCCCGAGGTGCTTGGGGACTGCACTGTCTTACCCACAGCTTAGAGGTTAATTGGATTAATGCTGGGATGTGATGATACCATTGCCTGCAGGCTACAGAACACTGCTGTGTCTGGGAGGGTTCTGTTAGTCCTGCAGCAGCCCTCCCCTGTCACCACCCGCAGCGTGGGGATCCGTACGGGAGTACAGTTAACGCACTGGTGCTCTGCTCTTCTCTTGCTAGTTGGTGCAGAAGTTTTCCAAGTGTCCTGCTGTGGTTGAAGCTGAGAGAGGAGGGAAGCTTCAGATGTTTGATGGCTGTGTCAGCGGTGAATACACGGAACTGGTAAAAAGCTCCTACTTTGCCCTTAAAAATAAGGGGGTAGAGAGGCTGTTAGCAGCTTCTCTGAGGTAAACAGTAGCATAGGTTTCTGACCCTTCAGCTTCGCCCATGCATATTCAGTCCCTTTATTTCAAAGCCAAAAAACCCCTGCTATTATGCTGTATGATAGAGACCAAGCTTCAGCTCACTTAGTGCTTCATGAGCTGGTAGCAGGCTCTGAACTGTTTTTATGCAGTGGATTTTTTTAATGGATTGCTCAGCAGGACATGATGGGTGTCATGCTCTGTCCTGCTTCTGCATTTCAGAGGGGAAAACATGGCTTTATACTGGTGCCCATTTCAAGGTCTGCAGGAAAGCCAGTGTTTTATGTTTAGTAACTAATCAGCCTGATCTTCTCCCATAGAGAAAACAAAATAATGGAATGTAGCAAGCTGATGAAAACAGTTTATTTAAAACCTCCATCTTTGTATTGTTTATACATTTATACATTTGTCTACTATTATAAAAGATAACACTCCTCTCCTTACTTCTTTTGGGAGAATAAGATTACTTGATGCTAAATAGTACTCTCTCAAATGTGAGGGGGTGGTGCCTTCTCATCTCAAACACTAATGGGGAGAGCCTTCTCTCCTTACAGGTCCCAAGCCAGAGACTTGTCCTGAAGTGGAGGTGTAGGAGCTGGCCTGACGGTGAGTCCTTGTTGAGGCCCTCTGACAGAGACTGCGCTTGGCATAGAAGGACAAGACAGGTGACAGTCTTGCAAAAACAGGCAGCTCACGCAGCCTGCGTTCCCTGGAGAACAGCCTGATGGCCAGGGCAGGTGTCACCTGGCAAAAGCAGATAGGAAATGAGCAGCAACAACTGCAGTCCTTTAAAAACACTGAAATGTTTTATTTTCTTCCTTCAGAACATTACGCAACAGTTGCCTTGACTTTCAAGGATATGGGGGCCCAAACAGAACTGCAGCTGGAGTGCAAAGGAGTTCCCGTCTCCGATGAAGACAGCACCAGGCAATGCTGGAAGAAGCAATATTTTGAAGAAATACATGTTTTACTGCAGCAATCCAAAGACAACATGGAGTGATAACAGCACTGTAGCTTTGTTAGGGCATTACTTTTTATACTTTGTTAACATTCGGGTTTTTTAAAACAAGTAATTTATTTGTGGGAAGAATAAAGACCCACTTCTATGATCCTGTATATAATTTAAGCATTATTTATGGATTTTTAGTGAATGAGGCGGTCAGGCTATGTAGAAACAGCTTCACTTGGAAACTGCTCTCTGTTAAGCCCCCCACTGACCTGCAGGAGTGCAGATGGCTGGGCTGCAGGGAGGCACCACCGCCTCGGTAGGGAAGCTGCACCAGTGAATAGGAAGCGTTTGCAGTCCTTCAGTATTCAGGGTGTTGAGTGGCAAAAATAAATCCCCCAAGGAGACGGGGTTCCCATCAGAGGCAGACTGAAAGGGATGATGAAACTACTGATACATTAGATCATGCAAGAAATGAGGCTGTAAATGAGGCTACCACTTCTATTTATTTGTTAAAATTGCTTTAACTGCAGGCTGAATTTGCTTCTCACTCTAGATGGTTTTAGGGAAAGGTAATTAATGTCATGTCATTCTGGTCAGTAGACAGGCATGACTTTCAAGTCTGCATGCACTGTGCTCCCTTACTTGACCTCAGTGTGAAATTTATTTTGGAAACAAACGAGCAGTTCTGATGTTTTCCTTCTGCAATGCTGTCAACCTTCCCCCCCAATCATTTATGGCTCTGCAGTTCTGTAGCTCAGCTTAAAGTGAGCAACTGTTTGCTAGAGAAATAGGACAGGAGCGTAGTTGGGATATTGAAAGTAAAGCTTTGTTATTTGTAATTAAACCACATTGAGGTTGACATGGATAACTTCATTCTCAATTAAAGTGTCTGAATTGAGTATGCAATTTGGAACAAATGGACAGAAGACAGGCAAGCTGCCTTTGGAAAGATGCAGTTGGCTCAATAAAGTACATGACTTTGCACACAGTTCATTTCCTCCCTTAACTGCTCCTGCCAAACTAAACGAGCCTGTGTAGAAGTTGTCCTATATGTTTTATTTTTACAGGACACCACCATGCTGCAACCTTACAGCATACAAACTCCTACCACCCAGAAGGTGAAGCTGTGCAGAGGGTTCTGATGGTGTTCGCAGTGACGTCTGTTGTAGTGACAGGAACAGGCACCTCACAGTGACAGGACAGACACAGAGAGGTTTCCAGGGCTTGGGTTTCAGGTGGGCAACAGCCCCTTGGCAAATGTCACAGTTTAGCATCTTCCTTTTTCTGAATACTCAAAATTTAAGTTACCTTTTTAGACAAATATGAAAGGACAAATAGCCTAACAGGCTGCCCGGGGAAAGCCCCTTCCATCCTAGGGTCATGAGGGCCCAATACTTGCATGTTTTGCTAGTCTGAATTTTCTTGTCTCCTTCCAGTAGCAGGACTAATCAACCAGACCAATGGCCAACCATCAGTGTTAAACAAAGAAGTGAGTTACTTGCCTGTCCAGTGTTGCACCACTTGCTTCCGTGTGCGGGACAGCCAGAACCCCCAGAGAACACTGCAGCTGCTGCTGGGAGGTCTGGAGCCTGGCTGAGGAGGAAGAGCCCCAGCCAGCCCTCACTTCCTCCTGAAGGAAAGGGCAGTGCTCCAAAGGGGACAGGTCTTCTTCAGCCTTCTTCTTGTGCCCGCGTGCCTGCGCAGATGTAAGTCTGATAACGCAACACGTACAAGCTTTCTGAAGTTAGATGTTGAGTACCCACCTTTTCCTCCTGCTTGTAGGCCAGCCTGGCATCAGATGTGGGCTAACAGCTCCTGCTGGTCCCTGCAGGCAAAACGGGACGTTTGTCCTTGCTGCTTCACCAGCGTTGCTGCGCTCTTCCCACCCCTGCTGTGTGTGCTGGGGCTTGGCTGACAGCAGCACTGTACTGCTGACCTGAAAAGTAAACTTCTGCACACAGTTCTTTTGCAGCTGATTGATAGAAATGAAAAGGAGTTCATTGTACAGGTAACAGAGAGCCTTGAAGGGGATTTCTAGCACCATCAGCCACCCATAGCATAAAAGGGGCAAGCGTCAGCTTGGAGAGGGAAAACAAATTATTCCTGAGTGCTGAATTTCCCATAGCCTGTCCAAGAGTTTAATAAAACTAAAGAATGCTCAACTGCTGGTTACCCTCAGCCCTCTCGAGCTGGGTGGAGCAGAGGTAGGGACTGTGCATCGTTAAGTACAGATGATAATCATACGATATACAAAATACATGAAACACAAACCAAAAAACTGACTGAAGAGGAATACCAAGGAAGAAATCATGACTTAGAGAACATGTTCTCTAAGTGGCATGGAGGAAGATAACAAAAACAGGTGCCAACAAGGACATGGAAGAGATGAGTTTGTACAGCTATTGTTTTTTTTTTAAATAAATGGAATACTGGGAAAAAATTCCCAATAAAAATGGCAGAAACTGGACGGTGATGTGAGGGAAGAACAGTAAGAATCATCATACTTCTAGTAATGGTGACACAATTTTTGAGCAAAAGAATAGAAAAGCTGATGTTAAAGTCAGCCCATTTAGAACAACAGGATGACAAAGCTAACCAAGATGGTTTGTAGTAACTTGTCAAATCTGATGTGGGTTTTGGAAGAGGTCGCCAAGGGAGCCATTACTGTGTCAATGTACGTTCTCAGGGAGCCCCCAGAACCCAGCACAGCACTGCACACACCATAGTGTAACCTGGAACTGCAACTTCTGGCAGTCACTACAGGCAGACTTACACTGACATTGTAAATGGCCAGTTACAGACTGTGAGAAAATAACTGACAATAAAAATACAAAATTGCTACTAATAGCATTTGCAAGTCACTTAGGCAGGTCTGTTGGAGAAAATACCCTGAACATGACATACAGGGCCCTAGGCACTCACCAGTGCCTGGCTGGTGTTCATCTAGGAGCACAGAAGAGGAAGAAGGGTGTGCTCCTTCCCTGTGCATCCCTAACGGAATCAGCATTAAACACCAGTTATTCCCTGTAGAGACAGAACCCCACTCCTGGGTACCAGGGTTACAGCCTGATCTCGTGCTGCACGAGAAGCCAAAGGCAGAGGGGGCAATCGCTGAAAGCTGAAGTCAGACAACATACCAAAAATCAGGTGCACAGTTTAGTAAGAGTAATTAACTGATTTGACTCACCAAGAGGCTGTAATGGCTGCTTCTTCATCTCCTGAAAATCTCTAGATCAACAGGGGGAGTATCTTTGTAAAGACTTCTTAACCCAACAGCGAATGGGTGGGCGCGGCAGGAGACTCGAGAGATGAATTCTGATCTTCCTTACGCAGAGGCTTTGACTAGAAGCTGTTGACAACTCCTCTGAAGTTACAATTATGAAGAAGTTGATCAGAAAGCATAACAAAACTATTCCTGAAGAGAGTGAAAACATCATTACTTTATGTCTGAATAATGAGGAGACCAAGTTGAGCACTCACCAGCATCAGTTCCGTGTCCATAAATGCAGGAACAAAAGTGCTAATAAAAGGAAATACAAAGTGCAAACTTTAAATTAGACAGAAATTATTAATTACAGAAGGTTAACAAAAAAGAGTAAAGAGAGTAAGAAGTCACACAAGCATCACATTGTGGAGAAGCAAATGATGCTAAAATACATTAAAGGGTAGAATGAAGGGATTTGGAAGAAAAAAAAGGCCAACACTGATGTGTTACAGAGACAACAGAAAAACAAATGAGCTAAGCAACTGGAAAATGAAGCTGAAAATGGCATTTAATCAGACATTAAAAGCAGTATCATTGGCAGTGCAAAGGTCACATGGGAAACTGCTGTTGCTCAGACATGAGGGGGAAGGTGATGAAGGCGTTCCAGGATTGCAGGGGCACAGCTGAGGGGAGCAGGCAGCAGGGCAGAGGGGCAGGAGGTAAGCCTGCCAACAGGGTGGGAGAAAAACACAACCAACAGGTTAAAATCACAATTCCATGAAATGAGTTCCACCGGCCTTCTGACACCACTTAAAAATAACCCCCAGCCCCTCTCAACCGTGTGACTCAACACAGGCACAAAGGAAACCAGATAAGGACCAATATTTACATCAGTTCTATACATCTGAACATCATTTCTGTCTGCAGCCGTTTCCATTTTGAAGTTGCCTTTGATGAGAAATCCAAAGACTAAAGCGACATATTATAAACCAATGAAAAGTCACAATCAGTTTAATGAAGTGCACAGAATAGCAATTGATCATGTCAATAAAAATAAAACAATTAATTTTACATCAAGTGTGCTTTATTTCCTCCACAGGTATTCTGTTAAATAAAGCACCATATATATACTGCCAGGCCACAGCTAAAGAGGATTCTTTACAGAATCAAATTTCTTGTGGTTGTTTAGTATACAAGTAAACTTAATTTTGATAATAAGAACCACAGCGATCTGAGGCAATCTGCCTCTATTATAAGGTACAAAACTGGCACAGAGGACACCATATTATACACAGTAAAAATGTCATAAGTTTAAATTACATCAGACAGGGCAAGGAGGCCCTGTTCTCCCAGACAGCCATATTAAATGAAAGCCACTACAGTGAACTCTTAATTACATAAAACATATCCATTATTTGATTGCCCTTTAAGAAAGTGTACGGTAGATGCAAAACAAAAAAAGAAAAGAAAAGAAAAAGAAAAATAAAATCTGGAGTTCTGCCTGACCAAGAATTAAGCATATAAATCTATCTTGCCATTCAAGCAGAGAGCACTGGACAAACTGAAGCACAAAACAGAAATAAGCAAAACTTATACAAACAGCGTTTTTTGAGGGGAAGATAAAAGAAAATAAAAAAGACTTAAAAGCAGACATGCTCCATCTAATGTCAAGAAGCAGCTTGGTTTCCTTTTCCAGATATCCTCGTGACCACGTGAATCGTAGACTCAATGGTCCTGCACAGGATGTCTAAAATGTCATGCTGCTGCATGTGACTAAAAAGTCCTCTGGAATGGCCACAACTGATTGATAAGCTAGTCTCGGGGTCCTGGGATGGTAAGGCTTGACCGTCGCAGCCTCTCAGATCTGCGAGGTCGGATAAAACCGCGGAAATGGACGTGGAGGGAAACTCCGAGTCCTCCTCGGCTCCAATGGAATCCTTGGAAGTCTGCAGGTCTTTAAATTCTTTGCACTCCTCAAATTTACCATTTCCCGACTGCTCTTCCGTGTGCTGTGACCGCGTGGCTAACATTATGTCTTCTGAAAATGAAGATGGAACTTCCATTCTGTACTCCTTGACAGAACTGTTCTCGGGGGAAGGAGGGTCTTGCTCCGTGCCTGGGTCGATGATGGAGGAGTCCCGTGTCTCGTTGTCCGAGGTGCTCGTTGGGGTCATCGCCTCCCGGGGCTCAGTTTTTATGTCGCTGATGCAGCTGTCCACAGTGTGCTCCTCGTCGCTGCTCACCCGCCGTCTCTTCACAGGAGTGGCTCCTTCGTCGTCTGCCAGAAACAGGGAACACACACTCGTTTCATGCCACGCTCCCAAGTGACAGGCCTTCTGCATGCTTACATTACTTATTTTAACACAGTGCTTTAATCAATACTTATTTCCTGACAGAATACTCATGTCACTGCCTAGAATTTTAGCTCCACAATAAAACACTATTTCTCATGTAGCACTGGGGATTGGAGCCAAGGGAAGGCCCACCCTGCAGTGGCCAACGAGAGCGTGACATGTTCGTGCTGTACAAGCTCGTAAAACCTTTAGTTAGAAGGACACTACTACAGAAGGCAAACCTTTAGTTTTTCTTTCTTTGGCTTCTTGCTCTTGTAATGAGTTCCTCTGCTGTTGACAAGTTCTACATTTGTTTAAAAGCTCTTGTAAAGTTGGAATCAGGGCCGAGTTGAGCTGTTTGGGAGTGTGCACCGAAAGCAGCAAGGCAAGGGCTCGGAGGTCCTAAAAACACAGAAGGAAACAAGCTTAAGTGGCCTCATTTCGGACTGGTATTTGAGTCATCCTGCACACGGGGAGACCCATGCAGTAAGCAGAGGCTTCAAGGTGTTCTGCACATCCAAAAGATCAAATTCTAAACATACTTACACTACTGAAACTTCCCACTCACTACCAACACGCTGACCTCAGCGTAGCTCTGGCCTAAGCAGGTGACAGTACTGTGCTGCTCACTGCAAGACGAAATCTTTGGCCGGGTTAGAACGCTGCTATGATTGACTCTGCTGCATTTTGCACTACTGGTTTTCCCCACGACAAGCCACCCCCCCTCCCGGTCTTACGGTCCCCACCATCACCTTGGGGCCGAGATGGAACGGGGAATTCTGGAGAGCTCAGATGGCTGCTCCATAACTTTACAGCTGTCTTGCTGGTAGACTCTAACATTTCCAGCCAGTCGAGGCAGCCTCCCGTGCTCTCACCAGGAGCCCAGCTTGCCCACAAGTGGGGCTAACAAGGCCTGCCTCTTTACAGCCACGGAAAGCAAGCGCCTCCTACACGATGCCGGTGTTTGAACGCCTTCGAGAAGACTCACCCCATTCAGAGTAGAGCTCGCTTTGGAAATTTCAACTCGCTGGTTGCTGAAGTCAGATTCTAGGCTTTGATACTGATTTATTAGATTTGTAATTAGAGTATTGATTAAGTTGGCACAGTTTGCTTCAGAAAACACCTGCCCTTGGACCTGTGAAAATAACATTTTTTTTTAAAACCACAATAAAAATGGAACTGTGAAAACTATCCCAAACAGAAAGATCAGGCTGGATGAAGCTCTGAGTAGCTTGATCTAGTTGGAGATGTCCCTGCTTAGGGCAGGGTGTTGGACTAGATGAACTTTGGAGGTCCCTTCCAGCCCAGACATTCTATGATTCTATGACTGTGTGTTGAAATAGGAAAGATCACTAAAAGACCACCTACCTTTAGAAGAAAATGGGTCAGAAAGGTGTACACAACGTTGTTGTTCAGAAAGGTCCTTTCATCCATCAGAATACATTTTATATATTCTGCAAAAACGGGATCTTCACAGAGGAGCTTTACGCAGTTCTTTGACATCGCGGACTGCGAAGAGAGAGAGAAAGCTCCAGGTCAGTGAAATGGGCACGTTAACAGTCATCAGCTGCTTCACATCTTCCACGTACACTGTTCACTCGGCAGGAAAGCC